TATCTGTTTCCTGTTGGTTGCCTGCTTCCCCCTGTCTAGGATGTGATATGCATGAGGGCAGAGACCTTGCTTTTCTCTCATTCACCTTCTGAACCTAGCACATAGTAGGTGTTCAACAAACATCTGGTAAATGGATGAATAGGGAGGTTGGTCCCTCCTTGCAAGACCTTCACCCCAGGCAGAGCCAAGGAAGATTCCTAGGAGAATGGGGAGGGGGCAGTGGGCTCCTCAGAACCAGGAAAAGTGGCCTGGGGGCCAGAAGCCCTTGTGGGTCACTGTTCTCTCCCTGCCCCTTGTCCTGGCGGGTGCAGGCCGGTTTGAAGCCTCGGTGATCGAGGAGCGGCGAAAGGGGGCCGAGGACTTGCTTCGCTTTACCGTGCACGTCCCCGCACTCAACAACAGCCCCCAACTCAAGGAGTTCTTCCGGGTATGTGTACCTGCTCTTCCCCCGTCCTCCGCACCTGGGAAGCTTACCTGCCCACCAGGCTGCACCCTGTGACTCCCCGTGGCTGGTCTTTCTCTCCTGAAGGGTGGGGAGGTGACACGGCCCTCCGAGATGTCCAGAGACGTGCATATCCTGCCACCCCCTCTGATCCCCACACCGCCCCCTGACGAACCCCGGGTGCAGCCTCATGAGCCCTGGTTGCCCCAGCCGCTCCCTGCAGAGAGGAGGGGCCTCGAGGAGTTGGAGGTGCCAGGTACATGGGGTGGGAGAAGGAGCCAGGGCTGGAGGGCCCAGAGCATGTGTATATGGGGGGTGGGGACCACTCCCTCCTCAGTGAAAAGCCTGGGGTGTTTCCCAGCTCCTCTACCACCATCCTGCTGAGGAACTCTGCACAGGTCATTTTCCCTCTCTGGGCTTTAGCTTCTTAATCTGTAAAATGGGCACAGACCCTAAGAACGGGCTTATGTATGCCTGTGGTTGCTGAAAGGGTACAGTGAGAGGGTAATTACATTTTGAAAGCTGGGAAATAATAAAAGCAGGCATGTCCCCAATGATCTATTCCTCAGTGGACCCCCTGCCATCCAGCCCTGCCCAGGAGGCCCTGGATCTCCTCTTTAACTGTGGGAGCACCGAGGAGGCGTCCAGTTCCCCCGGCCGAGGCCCCCTCACCGAGGCTGAGCTTGCCCTCTTTGACCCCTTCTCCAAGGAAGGTAACAAGTTGGGACAAGTGAGGGGTGGGGCGAGGGCGGTAGCTGGGCAGGAGGTCCTTAGGGGCAGGGAGGCAGAGGCGGGCACAGCCAGTGGCTGGCCTCGCCTTGCCCGTGTAAATCTGAGAAAGGAGGCCCCTGTGGGCGAAAGGCAGCCTTGGTGAGAATTAGAAGCAGTGACCTTCCCCCATGCTGGCGAGCTGGACGGTCCTGTACAGTGAGCAACTACGGAGGAAGTGAGCCACTTCCCACCATGGCATCTTCTCCCTGAGAAAGCTGTGGAACCAGCAGGATGTCACCGTGCCCCGGGAGGATTTCAGTTCCTTTGCTGGAAGCCCGAGGTGGGGTTTCCTGGCTAGCTTGGGGTCTGGCTGTAGATCTTCTGCCAAGAGGCCCTGTTGGTCAAGGGAGGGGAGGTCTGGGTTCAGAGGACAGCAGAGGAGGCCCCTGGAGCAGCCACTGACATGTGACGGCACCAGAGATGGAAGGCCCCCCATGGAGGCCCTGGTCCTGAGCTCCTTGTCAGATCAGGGACTTGACCATCCCAGGCTCTGAGACACGGGGTCTTTCCGTTTTAAAATTCTCCAAGTTTATGCTGTTACTGAAACTGGGGTATTGAAGTGGCTGACTGCACTTCCAGATCATCACGCAGCAGTTTCATTCTGGATTCCGCAGCAGTCTTTTTAAGCCCATTTTTTGGCTTCCCTTGGTGACCTCTTGGGTAGGCCCTTAGCTTTCTGAGGTCCGATCCAAATCAGGACCTCAGTCTCCCATCCACTTTTCTCCCATCCACGTCCCCGCCAGCTCAGGCCTGACTGCCCTTGGCCATGGTGACAAGGGTGTGAGGACTGTCCTTTTACTCTTCTTGTTCTTCTTATCCCCCTGCCCCGCTCCCAGGGCTGGGGAAGGGAAAGAAGGGACTGGAGGGGAAAGGCAAGAGTGGTGTCACCATGGCTGATGAACCAGCCACAGGTGGGCGGGCATCCAGATACTCTGCCTTGCCCCAGCCAAACCCCCTGGGGTACCCAGTGCCCAGATGCTTGGGCAGGAGCCTGTCAAGACTCCTCAAAGGCAGCTCCCATGAGACATTCCCTTGGCCCACGGACAAACTCCTAAACCCTTGCCCACACCAGGCCTGGAAGTGCACTTCACTCAGATGCTGCCTTCTACCCTTGCCCCTCTTTGTGGGCACCTCCAGCCAGCCTTTCACCGTCGGAATTCTCCAGGCGAGGAGCCGGCGCTCGTCTCTCTCTTTTCAGCACATACACCAGGCTCTTGAACTCAAGTACTAGGGCATCCCAAGAACTCTTCCGTCTTCTGCTCCATTAGCAACACAGGGAGGGCTGTAGTCCAACTGGGAAGTGAGATGTCACCTCCCCTTCCTGTAAGAGGCCCCTGGTCTCCACATGGGGTCCCTTGGATAGGGTTGGAGAGAGGCCCACCCTTCCCTCTCCAGGCCGGTGGTGTGCAGCGGTGGTTCCCAGTCCTGCACCTTCCCTTCAAAGGCCCTTTCATCAAAGATTCACCAAATCTCTAGCCTTCTTTTGTGTAAGCTATGGAGAGCATCTTTAACCATCTCTTTGCCAGTCCTAGAGGATATGAGAGCCCTTCTGTCTGGAATGTGTGAATACCTACCACCCCCTGTCTTCACATTTGGGGGCCTCAACTGAAATTGTAAAACCTTAAAAAAGCCTTGAGATTTTCTGGATCCATTATCCTAAGATTACAAGGCTTGGAGCATTTCTGCCCTTGACCTGGCATAGTTGGTCTAGCATCCTTCAGTTAAACTTTATGGAGGAAATTCTTGGATTTATAGGTCAAGCGTAGTCAGGACGGAAGTAGAACCAGTGACCCAGAGCTTGCAAGCTAATGTTAATGTGTACCTAAAGAAAGAATTAGGCTACACTGTACATCTGAAACTTATATAATATTGTAAATCAATTATACCTCAAAAGAAAGAAAGAAAGGAGGAAAGAAAGAAAGAAAAAGAAGGAAAGGGAAACAATGAATTAGGGAAGTAAGGGTGTTTTCACCAAAGTACACGAACTCCACCAATCAAATAGATCATGGCTAGTGTGCTATGTACAAGTGGCTTTTGGATTGCTCAGGCACTGAAGAACCCAGGACAGGTTGGTGGGCAAGAGAGGTCTGGGGATGGACAGCAGGCCCTGGGAATAGAAGGTTCAGTCTGGCTTGAGTCCTCCATATCTGATTGCAGAAGGTGTAGGCCCCAGTCCTACCCACATGGGTGAGCTGGCAGCATTGGAGGCAGAATCTGAAAGACTGGACCAGGAACCCTGGGAGCCAGGAGGGCAGGCGGAGGAAGAGGACGAGGAAGGAGGGCCCGCCCCTGCCTATCTGAGCGAAGCCACAGAGCTCATCACCCAGGCCCTACGGGATGAGAAGGCAGGCGCCTACCCTGCAGCTTTGCAGGGTTACCGGGATGGTGTGCACATCCTGCTTCAAGGAGTTTCTGGTGAGCGGGACTGGAGGGCGGAGGGTCAGGCCTGGGGTACTGGCTGGTGCAGTGAAGAGAGAGGAAAGTAAAAGACAAGTCAAGGATCAGAATTGCTCCTCACTGGCCAATTGTATAACCTTGGGTGGCCTCAGTTTTATTTGTAAAATGGGGAGAATATATCTGCCTCCCAGGGAGCAGGGAAAGACACATGGTGATGCTCTGAACTGTAAGGGGCTAGACCAGGGGTTCTGAACCCAGGTATCTCTGCTGAGCCATTCTGTCTTCACAGGTGACCCATCACCTGCCCGCCGGGAGGGTGTGAAGAAGAAGGCGGCTGAGTACCTGAAGCGGGCAGAGGAAATCTTGCACCTGCATCTGTCCCAGCTCCCACCCTGAGACAGGAGAGGACCCTTTCCCAGGACTCTAGCTCCAGCACTGCCAGCCACCCTCTTCTCCTCTCCCTGGTGCCTGGCCTGATCTTCTGGTCTTGTAACTCCAGAGGCCATTTCTGTGTGTAACTGGACCAAGAATGAGACAAAGAATGAATTCTCAGCTCCCTGACCACACCTGCCACCTTGGAATCAGGGACTCACAAGTCTGATCCTGCCTATCTCTATCTTGATATGTGAGCAGCAGCTCTGGTCCCTAGGCTCTTTGTTTATCCATCTAGAACCGGGGTCTGCAGGCTATGTCCCACACCCAAATATGGCCCACTGCCTTTTTTTGTAAGGCCCACAAGCCAGAAGAGTTTTTACTTTTTTTTAATAGTTGAAAAAATTCAAAAGAATAATATTCTGTGGCAGGTGAAAATTACATGAAATTTAAGTATCTAAAAAAATAAAAGTTTATTGGAACACAACCAGGCTTGTTTGTTTACGTGTTGTCTATGGTTGCTTTTTCACTACACCAGCAGAGTTGAATAGTTGCAGAGTTGACTGGTTACGACCTGTAAATCCCAGAACATTTACTGTTCTGGCCCTTTGCAGAAAAAGTTTGCTGACCCCTGATCTAGAAAATAGGGATTAGAGTCTCCAGGGAAACATTAGAGAATGACAGCAAGGCCCCTTGAGCCAGGTTATTGGGTGAAGAGGAACCAAAGAGGGTGCACGCACTCCGGGCCCGTGGTTCAAAGCCAAACCGTGATGATTCAGAGGGCTGGAGCCTGGGAAGGCGTGGCCCCACTCCTGCCCCGCCTCTCCTACAAAGCGATTGGTTGCGGAAGGGACTACAAACCGGAGCATCATGGGAGTGGCCCAGACCGCCGAGGTGCATGATGGGCGGGCTTTAGCTGGGCCTGAGCGTGAGGAACAGTGTTGACCCTGAACTACAACGCAGAGCATCTCGGGAGGCCTGCTCGAAGATCTGTGGGAAGCCACAGGACTCGGTGAGAGAACTGCGGAGCCAAACGGACGGCGGGGATGCTTAGACCAGGGCGGGGAGGCGGGCCCGTCGGGGTCGGCCCCGCCCCGCCTCCCCTGAGCCTCCGCCGGCCTTGGCGTGCTCTTCCGCAGGATGGGGCGAGTGGCCGCACCTGTCCACGGGATGCTGAGGGCCCATCCTTCCCCCCCAGCCCACCCATGCCCGGCTACGAGCTGCCCGTGGGCACGTGCGTGGACATGTGTCCGGCCGCTGAGCGCGCCCAGCGCGAAAAGGAGCGTCGCCTGCACCGCTTCGAGGTGGCGCCGGGGTGTCGCGGGCACAGGCCCCGAGCCGACCCGCAGCGCGCAGTGAAGGAGTACAGCCGGCCGGCCGCCGGGAAGATCCGGCCCCCACCGAGTCAGCTGCGTCCGCCGTCCGTGCTGCTGGCCACCGTGCGCTACCTGGCCAGCGAGGTGGTGGAGCGCACCGACGCGTCCCGCGCAGAGGTAGCCAGCTTCGTGGCGGACCGTTTGCGCGCCGTGCGGCTGGACCTGGCCCTGCAGGGCGCGGGCGACGTCGAGGCGGCGTTGGTGCTGGAAGCGGCGCTGTCAGTGCTGCTGGCAGTGGTGGCGCGGCTCGGACCCAGCACAGCGCACGGGCCAGCGGACCCGATGTTGCTGCAGGCCCAGGTGCAGGAGGGATTTGGTTCTCTGCGGCGCTGCTATGCGCTGGGCGCCGGGCCCTACCCCCGGCAGGCCACCTTCCAGGGCCTCTTTCTGCTCTATAACCTAGGTGAGTCGGGGTCCCCACGATAGAACAAGGGGCAGGCGGCCCTCCGTGAGGACAGTGGAGGCCGGGAAAGGAAGGAGAAGCTTTAAAACCTCACCAGAAGCTCCCTCTCCATCCCTGCCTCCTAAATGTGTGTCTCAGCCAATGCACAAGATGTACCGAGCTCCTACTTGAACCTTCTGGCCTGTCTCTTCCCATCTTTGGGTCTCAGTTTTCTCGTTACAAAAGTGGAGGGGATGGGGTTAGAATGGGACAGTTGACCTAGATAGTGTTTTTTTTGTTTTTGTTTTTGTTTTTGCGGTACGCGGGCCTCTCACTGTTGTGGCCTCTCCCGTTGCGGAGCACAGGCTCCGGATGCGCAGGCTCAGCGGCCACGGCTCACGGGCCCAGCCGCTCCGCGGCATGTGGGATCTTCCCGGACCGGGGCACGAACCTGTGTCCCCTGCATCGGCAGGCGGACTCCCAACCGCTGCGCCACCAGGGAAGCCCTAGATAGTGGTTTTCAACCTTTTTTTTAAACCTCCAGTTCAGTCAGTGTTACAGAGCAGCCAAGAACACATATGCCAACAAATGTATCTGAAACAGAAGGTTCAAGACTAGATCTTTTCTATGGATGGATGGTGCATTTTAATAAATTCTTTTTAATTGTAATAAAATGCTGTTGACTTCACAACCACTAATGGGTCAGAAGCCTCAGTTTACAAAAAGTGACCCAAGTTTCCAGTGTCGTGATTCTTGGAAGGGGAGCAGAGGCAGAATTTGAAAAAATAATTGCCTCATCAGGCGGACAGAGGAGGATGTGGCAGAAGCAACTCCCAAATCTTGGGGCAGCTACGGCAGTGGAGAAAGGGCTGGGTTGGAAGTCAGAAAACTCAAGATTTGGTTGGGTCAAGTTCTACTACGTACAAACTCTAAGGCCGTCTGAGGCAAGTCATTAAATTATCTGGGCCTGTTTCCTTCCTCTGTAGACACTGCCTCACTTTATTATGAGGACCCAGACTATTTGAAGGGGTTCTCGAACCTCTGGCAACAAATTCTGATGTGGCTTAGGAAGGGGCCAAGGGGGAAAGGGGGAGGGAGGGTGGGCTTGGCCTGGGGGAGGGGCGTGGCCAGACTGGGAGGTGGGGGTGGGGTGGGGAGTGAGGTAGGGTGATGAGCTCTGAGGAGGGCCTGAAGGAGGTGGCGGAGGTGGTGTGGCTGAAGACCCGAGCAGGTGGGAGGGGAGATAGGGGGAGACCTAAGGGGATGGCACGGGAGGTGGGCCTGCTCCAGAAGGAATCAGCGTCCTCATTTGGGCTTCCCGCCCTCACAGGCTCGGTGGAGGCCCTTCACGAGATTCTGAAGCTGCCCACTGCCCTGCGTTCCTGCCCAGCCCTGCGCACTGCCCTGGCAGTCGACTCTGCCTTCCGCGAAGGCAACACTGCACGCCTGTTTCGCCTGCTCCGGACCCTGCCCTACCTGCAGAGTTGCGCCGTGCAGTGCCATGTGGGCCGTGCCCGCCGGGGAGCCCTGGCCCGCCTCGCTCGTGCCCTGAGCACCCCCAAAGGCCAGACCTTGCCCCTGGGCTTCATGGTCCACCTACTGGCCCTGGATGGGCCCAAGGAGGCACGGGACCTGTGCCAGGCCCATGGACTGCCCTTAGATGGACAGGAGAGAGTTGTGTTCCTGAGGGGTCACTACACTGAGGAGGGGCTGCCACCTGCCGGGACCTGCCAAGTACTGGTGGGGAACAAGCTTGGAGGGCGCACCCTGGAAGAGGTGGTCACGGCAGAGGAGGAAGATGAGGCTGTAGACACACCCAAGTCTGCGGCATGAGGAGGGCTGTGCAGTCTCCCAGAGCCCCAGGAGTAGGGCTGAAGCGCTCAGGTTTTTTTTCATGATTCCCACACAGTAAAAGGAACTCGTTGGGCATCCCTGGTGGCGCAGCGGTTAAGAATCCACCTGCCAACGCAGGGGACACGGGTTCGAGCCCTGGTGAGGGAAGATCCCACATGCCGCGGAGCAACTAATCCCGTGCGCCACAACTACTGAGCCTGCGCTCTAGAGCCCGTGAGCCACAACTACTGAAGCCCGTGTGCCTAGAGCCCATGCTCCGCAGCAAGAGAAGCCCCGGCAATGAGAAGCCCGTGCACCGCAGTGAAGAGTAGCCCCACTCACCGCAACCAGAGAAAGCCTGCGCACAGCAACGAAGACCCAACGCAGCCAAATATAAATAAATAAAATAAGTCTAAAAATAAATAAATAAGTGAAAGGAACTTGTCTTGCAAGGACAGCAGCTAGGCTCAATTTATTTGGGGAGGGCAGGGAGGAGTTGAGACATGCTAGGGGCGTGGGGGGAGCGGAACCCAAATTGGGCAATGCCCTATCCACCCTGGGCCTCAGTTTCCCTGCTGGTCACTGAGGAGTAGCTCTGGTGGTCTCTGAGTTGACATCTAAGGTTGCCATTATGCGTCCCATCCTAACCCACCTACCACCAAGAGCCAGGAAGAGGGAAAGTTTCATCTGGGGCTTGTCACTCCCTTCAAGTGTCCGCACCGGTGGGGCCCTGAGCTGTTGCCTCAGAAGTTTGAGAGGGTCCTGTGGTCGTGCCCTTTCCTAGCATCAGGAGAGACGGGGACACACTCAAAACTGGAGTGGGAGAGGGTTAGGATAAAGGGTGGGGATGGGAGCTGAAGAATGAGGGCTAGGGTCAGAGGTCAGCCACAGGCCTCAGGGTGGCTGCTGCGCCCTCCAGGGCCACCACCAGGATGCTGAGCTGCCTCTGCACCTCAGCCCAGGCTGCAGATCCGGGGCCTGTGTTCATGGCCTTGGAGCAGGCATTGGACAGGCCTGGGAACGTGGGTACAGAGCCGGTGCGGGGTGCCCAGAGCACATGGCTGACAGGAGAAATGGGGGAGGATAGGACCATTCAGGGGCCAGGAGAGAGGGGAGCTTCAGCCCGGAACAGCTCCTGTATACAGCTAGGCACAAAAGCCCCTCTCCACTGGTGGTGGGAAGAGATGCAGGTTCTAGTCCCAGGGTGACCTTCACCGATTTGCCTCCGATCCTTTAAGCCTGACTCCCCAACTGTCTCAAGGGACTGGGTTGTGCTCTAAAGGCCAGCAAAACTGACATTTTCGTCCCTCCAGCGGGTGCCCATTGCCCAGCCTCACTGCACCTCGAAGAGCTTCAGGACAGGTTCACCTGTAGTAGCGTCCCTCTGGGAAGGCTCGCGAATTCAGGAAAGTCCGTTCCGAGAGCATCAGCTGGTCATTGAGCATCCACACCTGCAGGGGGCTGGAGGCGACAGGGCCCTCTGATCACCCTACAGCCAGCAGCCCAGCTGCCAGCCTGCGCCCTGCCCTGGATGCCGCCCTCCCAGACACCTGCTTGCAGCCCTTGCTCACTCGGGGGTGCCCTTCTGCAGTGCTGATACGTGTTGGCCCAACACCGTGGCTGCCTCCTCAAACTTCTCCACTGCGGTCACCAGAGGTCCTGTGGGGAACAGCCAGCATCTTAGCCCTGGGGGTGCAGGGCTCCCCATGCCTCAGTGTTGGGGGGGCTCCGTACCCAGGCTGATGTTGTGCTGCTCCAACAGGCCACCAAGGTCCTGCTGGGCAGCCTGCAGGAGGCTGCGGAGGGTCTCGCTGTAGTCACTGACATTGAGAGGCAGGAAGAGGCTGTCACTGAGCCGGAGAAGCACACTGCCCACGGTCTGGGCCACGGCCTGATGGCTGCTGAAACCTTGCAGGAAGCGCAACAAGGCCAGGACTCAGTCTTCAGCCCATCCTCCTCCAGCCTCAGGATGCCCCTTGCCCTCGTCCTCACCAGGGTCCACAAACTTGTCCACGTAATCAAAGGTGTCAAAGGCTGTGTGGTAGGTAGGGTAGATCCGGGCTGAGGTCTTGCTCTGGGGGAACAAGACCCAGAGGTGACAAGCTTGGGATGGGAAGTGGAGGGAAGCATACAATGTAGAGACATTATTTCAATTCAATTGTCACCACATCTGTGAGGAAGGTTCTAGGATTCCTACTTTACAGAGGTGGAAGCAGGCTCAGAGAGGTTAAGTAACCTTCCTGACATCACACAGCTAATAAGTGGCAAAGCTGGGTCAGGTGCCAGTTTCCCGTTTCACATGAAGGAGAAGAACCTGGGGTTTGCAGTCAGACAAGAGGATTCACATCCCAACTCCACCACTCAAGAGTGGTGTAGCCATGGAGGGGTGAAAGGGCCTTTTGGAGCATCAAACAGGGAGACAGGTTGGGCACTCTGCATCCCTTATCTCACTTTACCCTCAGACCACTGGTTTATACTGTTATTTAATCTATTCTGAGATAAACATTTTAAGATCTCTGGAATCAGGATGCTTCTTACAGTCAGTGTCATCCTGCAACTACTTGACAGTGCTTTCTTCCCTCCTGAATAGTGCGTATCATGACAGTGCATCTTATACTCAGCTGTATCTTAAATTTGATAAAATAACATAGATGAGGGTGAACATGCTCAAGAGAGGTAAAGAAACTTAGCTGAGGTAGCACAGCTAATGAGTGAGGGAGCTGGGTTCAGTTTGCACTGGAGCGGCCCGAAGGAGAGGAGGGGGCTGGTGGAGCAAGGAACCGGGATGGGGGACGGAGGGGTGTCCGCTTACCCGGTCATAGGTGTAGGCGATGTCCATGGAGGAGATGCCCAGGAAGTGAATGAAGGGTGCGTAGTCGCTGCTCGCACCCAGAGTGCCCAGGCTGCGGGAAGGAAGATGGTTAGGCTGCAGGGCGCTGGGCCAGCTCACCAGCCCGGAGTCCCCAGCCCGGCCCTGGGCTCACCTGGGGACCAGGCCGTACACCGGGCTGCTACGGTTGGAATATCGGATCCAGTTGTCATAGATGCTGAGACTGCCGGGGCCTGGTGCGCGGATCTGAGCGGAGGGGGATCTAGTCTCGGGGCTGGCCCCTCCCCAGGCCCCACGACCAGGCTGGTCCTCCGCTCTGCCCACCCGAGCCCACGCACAGTCCTGCGGGTCCTACAAGGCCCACCCCGCAGCCTCAGTCCCACCCCCAGCCCTTCTAATAAGTACCAGCTCCAGCCCCGCCTACCCCGTGTAGCCCCGCCCCGCCCGTCCTCCTCCCAGCCCAGCTCCCAGCCCCTCCCATTTCCACCTGTTTGGCTGCAGAGAAGATGACGCTTTGGACCGGGGGCGTCCCCTGCGCCCTCAGGGTGGCATTGGCTGTGAGGGGATCCGAGAAAGACTCTATTCGGGCCCCACCCTTTCGTTTCCCTCCTCCCCGAGTAAGCCCAGCCGCCCCTCATACCAAACACCGAGATGTCCACGTTGATGTAGGCTACGGCGCGCTCCTGCAGCTTGCTGAAGGACTCCTGCAGGCGGGTGGGACCCTGTCAGCCCCGCGCTGCCCTGCCCCGGAAACCCCCTCGAGCGGCGAGCTGCGGGGCTCGCTCACCTCCGTGAACTCTGTGGAGCCGATGAGCCCAAACTCCTCTGCCCCCCAGCTCGCAAACACGATGGATCTTCGGGGACGCCAGGTGCCTGGGGAGGGGGATAAAGGGCTGGAGGGCAAGATTCCTCGGATCATGGGGTGGCTTAGGGGGAAGGTTGGGGATGTGGAGAGGAGGGAGGACTGGAACGGGCCGGGCACAGGCGACTGGAGGTAGGTCCTGGCACCTCCCTGGCCAAGCCTTCCCTGAGGCTCCATCCTCCTTTTACCCGCGCCCCTCCGCTTCTGTGACAGCCCCCAACATTGACGTCAACACCGATCTCCCTCCGTCAGGGGGTCCCTTCTGCCAGAATGCCCTATCCCCCTCTTCTCTCTGGCTATGCTGATTAGAGGTCCCCCAACTCTCTCCTCCATGCATCCTATGCAAAACTCTCCCCTAATCATCTTCACTTGGCGATGATACATTCACATTCTCCTTAGAGCGTTATCCACATTGAGCCAATCCTTACAACACGTCGTGAGGGACAGACTATGACTCTCTCCATTGAGGAAACTGAGCCATAGAGAAGTTTAATGACTTGCCAGGATTACACAGCTGGTAGGCAGCAGAGCCAGGGTTCAAATCCAAGGCCTGGCTCCAGAATCCAGGGGCTTAACCAATGTCCCACATTGCTTCTCATAGCCTCCCGCAGCCTGGCTTCCATCTCCAGTCTCTGTGCTCTCGCTGCTCTTGCCACAGGCCTCAGCCATCTCCCGGAAGCCTCCGAGGTCCTTGCTTGACCCCCTCACCGCCTTCAGATTCCCCCTACCCCTCCACAGCGCTATGGGCTCCTGGCTGTGCTCCCGTCTCTGGATGCAACTCAGTCCCCTTTGATCATTCCTCATCTTTTTGTTTTAAACCAAACTTTTTAAGTATAGGGGCTTCCCTGGTGGCCCAGTGGTTAAGACTCCGCGCTCCCAAGGCAGGGGGCCTGGGTTCGATACCTGGTCAGGGAACTAGATCCCGCATGCCGCAACTAAAAGATACTGCGTGCCACAACTAAGACCCGGTGCAGCCAAATAAATAAAATTTTTAAAAATTTATTTTATTTTATTTATTTATTTTTGACTGTGTTGGGTCTTCATTGCTGCGCGCGGGGTTTCTCTAGTTGCAGCGAGCAGGGGCTACTCTTTGCTGCAGTGCGCAGGCTTCTCATTGCAGTGACTTCTCTTGTTGCAGAGCACGGGCTATAGGTGCGTGGGCTTCAGTCGTTGTGGCTCGCGGGCTCTAGAGCACAGGCTCAGTAGTTGTGGCACACGGGCTTAGTTGCTCCGCGGCCCGGGGATCTTCCCGGACCAGGGCTCCAACCTGTGTCCCCTGCATTGGCAGGCAGATTCTTTTTTTTTTTTTTTTTTTTTTGGGTTTGCGGGCCTCTCACTGTTGTGGCCTCTCCCGTTGCAGAGCACAGGCTCCGGACGCACAGGCTCAGCGGCCATGGCTCACGGGCCCAGCCGCTCCGCGGCATGTGGGATATTCCCGGACCGGGGCACGAACCTGTGTCCCCTGCATCAGCAGGCGGACTCTCAACCACTGCGCCACCAGGGAAGCCCGGCAGGCAGATTCTTAACCACTGTGCCACCAAGGAAGCCCTAAAAATTTTTTAAGTATAAAATGATTACATACTTGCAATGAAAAATTCTCATTTTTTTCTGCCAAAAATGCATAAGATGAATCTAATCAGACAAACCCAAATTGAGGGACAGTCAACAAATGAAATATCAGGATCATGAAAGAAAGAACAGCTAAGAAACTATTACAAATGACCCACGCAACTACTACATGTGCAACATGTGATCCTGGATTGGTTCTTGGACGAGAAATATCTTTTGCTCTAAAAGTTATTGGAACAGGGGCTTCCCTGGTGGTGCAGTGGTTAAGAATCCGCCTGCCGGGTTTCCCTGGTGGCACAGTGGTTAAGAATCCGCCTGCCAATGCAGGGGACATGTGTTCGAGCCCTGGTCCGGGAAGATCCCACATGCCTTGGAGCGACTAAGCCCATGCGTCACAACTACTGAGCCTGCGCTCTAGAGTCCGCGAGCCACAACTACTGAGCCCATGTGCCACAATTACTGAAGCCCGTCACCTAGAGCCCTTGCTCCGCAACAAGAGAAGCCACTGCAATGAGAAGCCCACGCACCGCAACAAAGAGTAGCCCTCACTCGCGGCAACTAGAGAAAGCCCGTACGCAGCAACGAAGACCCAATGCAGCTAAAAAAGTAAAATAAAATAAATAAAGTACTTTGCCCATTTAAAAACAAAACAAAAGTTTTCAGAACAATTGGCAAAATTGTTAATTTCCTGATTCTGAGCATTGCACTGTGGTTATGAAAGAAAATGTCCTTATTTTTAGGAAATATCCAGCTCTGCCACCTGGTGCAGCTGCTCCTTCCCACATGCTGTGCCCTCCACCTGGATCTCCACCCCTACCGCTCCCAGAACTGCTGCCTCCCTGCGCTCTGGCTTGCATCTGGAAAGCCTGGTAGGTACTTTTCCTTATAGCACGTTTCACAGTTGTCATTACAGCATGAACTCTGGTGTTCACTGGGGGATGTCCAGTGCCTAGAACTGGCCTGGCACATAGTAGCCACGGGGGACATATTTGTTGAGTTGACGATTGTCCGTCACCCCTGCCTCAACTGGGCTGAGACTCCCTGAGGGCAGAGCCTGGGCACTGCCTCGCTCGAGGCCACATCTGGCCTCGCTTCATTGGAGGGGCCCAGGAAACCCTCAGAAGGTATTGCACAAGTTCCCTGCACCACACTGGGCTACTCGAGCGAGGCCAGGGCTGATGTCCATGCATGTCTGCCCCCAGGGCCCTCAAGCTTCGCCCAAGTGGGGACTGGAGAATGAGAGAGAGGAGGGGGGACAGGACGCCCAAAAGCTCGGGGAGGACTGAGCTGGAGGCGACCTCCTGGGGAGAGAGTCCCTGGACCAGGGGAGCAGGATCCGCTCACCCTTCTTCAGCAGAGTCCCCAGGACGCGGGAGAGCTCCAGGAGGACAGCAGTGCCACTGCTGGGGTCCACGGCCCCGTGAACCCAGCTGTCCCGGTGGTTTCCATACAGCACATAGCGGTCTGGCGGGAGGAGCAGAGTCAGACGCCCAAGTGGAGGAGCGAGGGTGGGTGGGGCAGCCAGGCTGGGCAGAGGGGGCGTGGTCAGGCGCGCTCAGAGCAGGGCCGGGTCCTGGGGGCGCAGGGAACAGTGAGGCAGCGCTCACCAGGCTCCACGGCCCCGCGGATGATCCCCAGGACGTTGGAGGAGTTCCGCAGCTCCAGGCGGTTGTAGACACTCACGTTCACCTGGCTGGGGGAGGGTAGGGGTGTTAGGAGTCTTCCCCTCCACCAAAGTAGGAGAAACTGAGGCCCAGAGCAGGAAAGGGACCTGGCAAGATCACTCGCCTGGAAATACCAGGAGAGCCAGCGAGGCTAGAGCCCAGCTCTTCTGATTCCAATTCTCCTTTGTACTCACTCACTTATTGGATACCTAGTGTATGCCAGCAGCGTACCAGGCTCTGGGCGATGACTGAGACAGACATGGACCCCACCCTCGTGGGGCCTCCCTCTCCAGAGGGAGGCAGACCCCAAGGAAGTGAACAACTGCAGGCAGTGAAGGGCTTGGGAGGACACTGACAAGGTACCTGGTGGCAGGTGGGGAGGTTAGTGCAGGCCAGGAATGACAGAGCGTGGGGAAGGATGTTCCCATCAGCAGGAACAGCAAGTGCAGAGGCCCTGATGTGGGAAGGAGCTGGGTGTGTTCAAGAGAGGGGGCGACTGGAGAATGGAGGTCCAAGGTGAGGTGGGGGGGACCCCACAGGGCCTTGTGAGGCACGCAGCTGTTTCACAGGCTTCCCCAAAGACAAGACAGACACTCTGGAATCAGGGAGGGGTTGGGAGACAGGAGAAAGGGAAAGGCCAGGCCTTGAAGTGAGCCCTGAGGAAACCAGGGTCAAGGAAGTATAACAAGGGAAGAGAAGGGGAGCGTTGGGGGAGGAGGGGGCCCCATCTCACCTGCCTGCTGGGAAGATACCATCAGAACGGAAGCCGGGCCCCAGCTTGTAGTCACAGCCCAGGGCTCCCTGCCAGGCAGCCGGGGCTGAGGCTCCCTGCAGGTTGCTGGGGAGGAGGCGGAGGCCCATCAGAGCAAATATGGGTGCGGGGGTTGAAGTTTGGGGGCCACTGGAGAGTGGGAAGGAGACCCCAGGGCAAAAGCTCACCAGAGAAGGACTTCTGCATCCTTGAAGCCAATGGGCTGAGTGGGAATTGGGGGAAATCCGGAGGCATTGTCAGAGTCCAGGCGGAAGGAGGAGGGGTTGGCTGGAAGGTAAGGAGTCAGGGGGTCCCCAAAATACTCAAAGTAGGAGCCTCGCTCCACCCCCGAGGGAGGAAGTCCCCAGGAGTGCGGGAAGGTCTCGTTCGGCAAGCTTTTCCCGTCGTTGATATCTGCAGGGTCCGTGTACACCAGCACCCCAGCCACCCCATACTTGGCAGCATTCACAGCCTGCAGAAGGCAGAGGAGGCTGTGTTTAGGGGAGGGGCGAGAAGGGGGCACATCTTGTTCCTCTTCCTCCCTCCCTCACTGTGGAAGCCAGGACAGATCTGTCTTCCCACCGGCAAGATGATACTTAACGCAAGTCATTTGTTGCAGTGCCGCTTGAGGCAGCAAAAGACTGTTGAGCCTAGGCAACGGCTCATCAATGGGGTCATTAAATAAACGGAGGTACCCTACAGTGGAGTACTATGCAGCTGTGTAAAAGAAGGAGGATGTGCTCCTAAACCCATGTTCATATAAACACTGTTCATAGTAGCCAAAAGGTGGAAACAGCCCAACCGTCCATCACTGATGAATGGATAAGGAAAACCTAGTATATAACGTGCAAAGGAATATTACTGATTCTTAAAAAGGAGTCAACTTCTGATACATCAATGAACTTTGAAAACATTGTGCTAAGTGAAATAAGCCAGACACAAAAGGACAAATATCACATGATTCCTCTTATGTGAGGTACCGAGATGAGGCAAATTTATAGAGACAGAAAGTCAAATAGAGGTTACCAGGGGCTGCAGAGGGAGAATGGGGGAGCTAGTGTTTAATGGGTACAGAGTTTCATCTGGAACCATGAAAGCATTCTGGAAATGGTTAGTAATGATGGTTGCATAATATTGTGAATATCCTTAATGCCATTGCAGTGTACATTTTAAAAATGGTTAACCTGGTAAACTGGTAAAATGTATGTTACATATATTTTAGGACAGTAAAAACAAAACAGTACATTAAAAAAAAAAAAAGATCAAGGACAGAGTTTATGCACCAATTGAGAATGATCTCCAGGACGTATTAAGGTGAAAAAAGCATAGCTCAGAACAGTATATTTATGCTACCTTTATATAAAAGGAGAAGGAAGTAAGAATATATCTTCATATGTTCTTCTTCCCAAAGAAACTCTGGGTACATATCCCATAAACAAACAAGCTACCTTTTTGGAGGATGGCATTATGAGAAAACTTTTTCACTCTATACTTTTTTTTTTTTAACTGGAAGTTTCATAATCTGTATAATTCCACCACGCCTGTTCGCCTTTCTTCTCTTTTCTTTCCATTTTTTTACCCCCAGCTCTTATCATGGGCACTTATTTTATTTATTTATTTATTTTACTTCTTTTTAAATTGTGATAAAGTACACATAACATGAAATTTACTATCTTAACCATTTTAAAGCATACAGTTCAGTGGCATTAAGTATATTCCTATTACTGTGCTACCATCACCTCCATTCACCTCCAGAACTCTCTTCATTTTGCAGATTTGAAACTCTGGACCCACTAAAGACTAACTCCCTAGTCCCTGCTCCCACTCTATACCTTTTTATATTTAAAATAAATAAGTAAGTAAACATTTAAGAAAACACAAACATGTAACCCTCAGTCAAAATTTTGTGTTGAGGGCTTCCCTGGTGGCGCAGTGGTTGAGAGTCTGCCTGCCGATGCGGGTGACATGGGTTTGTGCCCTGGTCCGGGAAGATCCCACATGCTGTGGAGCGGCTGGGCCCGTGAGCCATGGCCACTGAGCCCGCGCGTCCGGAGCCTGTGCTCCGCAACGTGAGAGGCCGGTGTACCGCAAAAAAAAAAAAAAAAAAAAAAATTTGTGTTGAAAAGAAGCAAGTTGTGGAGGAAGGGACAACAGGAGGGATTTAAGTCGAATGTTCAGAAGAACTATGTCACAGGAGGACTTAGACTTCCAGAATATACCAAAGCTGAAAAATGTGCCCAATTCCTTTATTTCCCAAGGCTCAGGGAGGTTAGAGGAGATATCCAAGGTCACACAGCACCTAAGTGTTCTTTGGGCCAATCAATGGGCTAGAGCCTGGCTGGGCAGAGTGCCAAAGCAGGCCATTGGTGGGTGGAAGGAATCCTTCACCCTCTACTGCCCCGAGCCCAGGGCTTGGCCTACCCCTCAGCCCTGCTCCATTCCCTTCCCCACACATCCTCCTGTCCACTGGGGGCTGCTGCTTACCTTAGCCCTGCGCCCTACACCCCCATAGCGGGTCAGGACGATGCTATCTTGGAGTTTGATGCCCTGTTGGTATAGCTCCATGAAGTCTTCTTCCGAGCCCCAGTTAGCATAGACGAGGAGGCCCTGTTCCCCAGAGAAGGTGACCCTTAGAGCCAGGCCCAGGAAAGAAGGGGAAAGGCTGAGTGGCAGGATGAAGGATTTAGATTCCGTCCCCCAACCTCGCCTAGAGCTTATAAGCTCCCCAAGACAAAGTCACACCTGGTTTGCTCTGTGTCCAGGTACCCTGTATCAGGCCTGGCTTTGAGCAGGGCCCATTAGTGTTTGTTGAATGACTAAGTGATGGGCAAAAGGAGTCGTAGTGGAGTGTGGAAGCAAGTAAATTCTGGGTGGGGCTGAGCCCCAGTTGAGGCACTTTTCTTCAACTGCCCGTGGGTCAGGATGGGAGCAGCTGGGGTAGAAGCCAGCGGGAGCTGGGCCATGGCAGTGGGGAGGGGGTGTCCCAGGCCCACCTGAGGTGTTCCGGGGGGAGCATAGGCAGCATATGGTGGTACCACATTGGGGTCCCCCTGCTCCCCAGTCAGGTTCTCTTCACTTCGTTGGGAGGAGAAGAGGATGTCCCCAGCAGGACCCACTGTGGAGAGAGGGCAGTGTCTGGGCTGGGCCGGCAGCTCTCCCGGCCCACAGGCCTCCCCAGGCCAGAGCAGGACCTCACCAACATCCACACGGTTGGGCTGCTTCTGGCTGGGGAAGGACAGCAGCACTTCGTACTCAGAGATCCCGGCTGAGTCCAGGCCCGACTCCGGGTCCTGCCAGCGCCGCAGTAGCAGCTGCACCAGCGCCTCATCCCGGGGGCTGGTGGCCAGGTGCGGCTCCTTGGAGAGTTCTCTGCAGGGTGGGCCCAGGGTCAGGGAGGAGCCTCTGGCAAACAGGAGGGGCACCTGGGCAGGCCTCTCACCTAAGGTTCTCCCGGATCCTGTTGGCATCGAGCTGTCCCACGACAGCCTCAAGGATCTCCAGGTCCAGGTCCTGGGAGGCTGAGGCACTGGGGGCTGGCAGGTCAGTCCCCTTGGGGATGGCAAAGTGGCCCAGGATGATCCCCAGCCCCAAGAGGGCAGCGGCCCCCAGCACCCCTCCAAGCACCTTCACGCACTGCATCCTGTGGAGTCTTGGCCAGCTGGTGTGGCTCCTTATAGATGGGGTGTCGGGTCCAGTTAACCATTACCTAATAGGTGGCCCTGCCCTTTGGCCACTAGCTGGCAGGGAGAGTAAGGGAGTGTCCTGCAGGAAGGACCAGGAGCTCTTCACCTCCAGCTCGATTTCTGCAACATTCACTTGGAAGAGACCTCCAAGGGGCATCAAATGCATACCTGGACGCTGAGGCTTGGAGAGGGACAAAGTTTCACCCACGGTCTCCCAATAGGAGAGGCCAAGGTAGGACTAGAGCAGGGCTGGGCCTGCTGCCCACCACCCCTGCCTCTGTTTCCCTGGTGTCATTCCATCTCCAGCACATCCAGCCCTGGCCGCTTGATTGGGTTTTAAGTTCAAATCCCATCCTTTGCTAGACGTAAGTTGTGTGACCTTAGGCAATTCACTTAGCTTCCCTGAGCCTGTTTTCTTAGCTGTAAAATGGATAATAGAGCCTATTTCACAGAACTGTGCTGCTGTTTTCATTAAACAAGGCCACATCTGTAAAAATGTCCAGCGTGGTGTTGAGCCCATAGTAGGAACTCAGTACACTTTAGCCGCTCCTGCCTCATCTGACCCCTTAAAATGCTAAGCCTAGAGCTAAGGGGAAAAGAGGGACTCAGAAGAATTCTCTGTAACTATCCTGCAGGGGTCCCAGTTTATGGGAGAAAGTGGGACTCTTAGAAGAGGAGACTGGGCACTTCACTGGTGGCACAGTGGTTAAGAGTCCGCCTGCCAACGCAGGGGACACGGGTTCGAGCCCTGGTGTAGGAAGGTGTCACATGCCGCAGAGCAACTAAGCTTGCGAGCCCCCACTACTGAAGCCTGTGTGCCTAGAGCCCGTGCTCCGCAACAAGAGAAGCCACCGCAATGAGAAACCCGCACACCGCAACGAAGAGTAGCCCCCGCTCGCTGCAACTAGAGAAAGCCCGCGTGCAGCCACAAAGACACAACGCAGCCAAAAAGTAAATTAAATTAAAAAAGAAAAGAAAGGAAGACTGTTCTAGAGGACAGAGCCGGAGAAGCACACTTTCTTGACAAGCTGACCTCCATCCTCTGACCCTACCAGGAATCCATCCATCTATTCATTCATCCATCCATTCATTCATCCATCCATTCATTTATTCACTCCTACCTGCAAGCACCTTTCATTTATTCAGCCCTATGCCACCTCCATGCCAGGCCCTGGGGAAGACAAGGTGCCCAGGGACTCAAGTCTAGCAGGGGAGTCAGATAGGCTTTGGGTTCAACCATGTGGTAAGCGCCCCTATAGAGGGAGGACCACCATGCTCCCAGTGGAGAGAATGACAAATTCTGTCCAGAAGGGAACACTTGAGGGGAATCTTCCAAGGATGAGAAGGCATTCAGCGTGCAGAGGAGGCAAGGGGCAGGCCATCCTTACAGAGGGCCTGGCACGTATAAGGGCTGAGAGGGAGAGGGAACCACCAAGTACTCGCTTTAAGCCTCTTTCAGACTTCATAGACAGCCAGGCAGGGCTGGGAAGGTCCCTGGGGCTCAAGTGTGACTCCTTCCACCTGCCATGGCCTATCCTGCCTTGGGATTCTGCTCAGCCAGGCTGCAACCCATTGGGTTTTTTTGTTTGTTTGTTGTTTAAATATTTATTTATTTGGCTACATTGGGTCCTAGTTGTGGTGCATGGGCTTCTCCAGTTGCGGCATGCGGGCTCTCTAGTTGTGGCGTGTGGGCTCCAGAGTGCGCAGGCTCAGTAGTTGTGATGTGTGGGCTTAGTTCCCCCTCAGAATGTGGGCTCTTAGTTCCCCAGCCAGGGATAGAACCCGCATCCCCTGCACTGGAAAGCGGATTCTTAACCACTGGACCACTAGGGACGTCCCCAGGCTGCAACCCATTGATTGGCCCAAAGATGCCTGGAAATCTGGGGGAGCTGGGCACGGTGTGCACGTGTGTGTGTGTGTGTGTGTGTGTGTGATTTCACAGCACCCTCTCAGAGCAGCCCCCTTCCTACTGCTTACAGCCCCATTCACCTGCACCACCGTACCCACGTCCCCTTGAGCTGGTTGGGAGGATTAGCGTGTTAGAGTGGCGGGACTAAGGGTAGGGTATAGTGTGATCAGGGACTTCAGGAAGGTGCACCAGAAAGCCACAGTCCTTGGAGAGCTGATTATGAACACCTAGAATATAATATTATCAGAAGGCCATCAGTGTGGGGGGCACACACATTCCTTATGAGGGCACAGGGGGACAGCCACCACCAGGCAGCCAGCCAGACACCAAGGTCAGCTGATAAGCTGAGGAACAGACATGGTGATGACACCATGAGGCAGCAGCTCCATGGTCCTGCCCCACCCTCTCCTGGAAGGAACATGTGAAGCCACAGACATGACATCTGGACAAGAGCGTGTGACATCTGAGTGGGTGACACCGGAGAGCTCCGGCTCAGGCTGTTGGAGTCAGCTGATGTCTATGCTGCTGTAGGCACCAGACAATAACTCGATCAATCTTTTTTCCCCTTCTTGGACGGGAAGATCGTATGGCCCCTCCCTGAACATTCTGGACTGTGAGTGTTGATGGAAATCCCTTCAGGGAGCTGATGCATTTGATTTCCTTTTTATCTTCCCACCTCGCTCGCTCCATCACTCGGACTTGGAGAGTTCTTCCACCCCTCCAGGACAGCCAGTCCATTGGTGCTAGCTCCTTTCCACTCTCCCTCACCTCCCACGTGTGCTTTCCTCCCTCCTGGCCCAGCCTGAGTCCCTTGCAAACCCTCTCCACCCCCTTGATCCTCTCTGTTTTGGTCACATTCACTGGAAAACCCCCGACCTGGTTACATCCGCCCCTCCACCTACTCTGAACCTGCACCCTTGACCCTGAATATGCCTGTGGAGTCAGATGACCTCCCGCATCTCGCTTTAGGTTTACGATCCTAGACCTCAAACAGGTCCTCAGTACTGCCCGGCAGTCCTACCGTCCTTCGCCGGTCCACACTCCCACCAGCACTCCTAGATGGGAGTTGCGCATCCCCTCCTCTCTTCTCAAGCCTCCAACACATTCTCCTCCACCCTCACGCCCAGCTGATGACCGTGCTTCCTACTTCACTGAGAAAATCAGAGGGAACGTCACCGTGATGTGTGATCCACACCCCTGTCCAAGGCAGCCTCTCCCCTGTGCAGAGCCCACCCCCTCGCTGCTCAAGGATGTGTCCCCACAAGCCTCCCTGCCTTTAGTGGATCACTTCCATCCACCTAAAGCCCCTGTTTATGGTGTTTAACACCATCTTTAAAAAAAAATCTCTCAGGCTTCCCTGGTGACACGGTGGTTGAGAGTCCGCCTGCCGATGCAGGGGACGCGGGTTCGTGCCCCGGTCTGGGAAGATCCCACATGCCGCGGAGCGGCTGGGCCCGTGAGCCATGGCCGTTGAGCCTGTGCGTACGGAGCCTGTTGCTCCGCAACGGGAGAGGCCACAACAGTGAGAGGGCCACGTACCACAAAAAAAAAAAAAAAATCTCTCAATTCCACTTGCTCCTCTAGCAACCGTCCCATTTTTCTGTCCCCTTTTATGATAAAACTCCTCGGAAGAGTGGACCATGCTGGTCTCCAGATCCTCTCCTCCTATTCTTTTTTTTTTTAATTTATTTCTTAATTTATTTATTTTTGCCTGTGTTGGGTCTTCGTTGCTGTGCACGGGCCTTCTCTAGTTGCGGCGAGCGGGGGCTACTCTTTGTTGTGGTGCGCAGGCTTCTCACTGCAGTGGCTTCTCTTGCTGTGGCGCACGGACTCTAGGCGCACGGGCTTCAGTAGTTGTGGCTTGCAGCCTCTAGAGCACAGGCTCAGTAGTTGTGGCGCATGGGCTTAGTTGCTCCGCGGCGTGTGGGAGCTTCCCGGACCAGGGCTCGAACCCGTGTCCTCTGCATTGGCAGGCGGATTCTTAACCACTGTGCCACCAGGTAAGCCCTCCCGTTCTTTCTAGAGGCCACTCCATTCAGGCTTTACTCCACTAAAATTACTCTTGAAAATGTCCACTTTGCTCCATGTTGCTGGATCCAGTGGTCAGTTCTGTCCTCTCTTCTTACTTGACCCGGCAGCAGTGCTGGTCACAGCTGATCAATCGTCCCTGGATCGCTTCTCTAGCTACACCCATTTCCCAGGCCATCTCCTGACTGTAAATTCCATTGTGGCCCCTCCCTCAGGTCCTCCACATCTCTGCTCAAATGTCACTTCTGCACAAGTGCCACTTTCTCTGAATTGTGTTCCTTCTCCTCCCTCAGGCTTCCTCTCCGTCTCCAGCTTCATTTCTCTCCATTGCATCTATCACTCTCTGACATTAATTATTCCTTATCTCCCCTCCTAGAATGTAAGTTCTACTGGGGCCTGGATCTTTGTTTTATTCGTCGCTGAATCTCCAGAACCAAGAGCAGTGCCTGGCATGTAGGAGGCGCTCAATAAATACTTGTAGAATGGATGAAAAACTGACCCAAACGAGCTCAGTTCCTCCACCACCCTGGGCATTCGTACAGCTGTCTGATATTTAAGGAGTGTCCAGGGCAACCACAAGGGATACAAAAGGTGGGCACAGAACTCCTGGGAAACAGACCCCATCAGAACAAGCCTCAACAGGATTGCTGAGCCAGCCGTGGGTGGGAGCCTGCATAGCACAGGGGCTGTGGGATTTAACAGACCTCTACGGCAGGATCTTTCTGAAGGATGATTCCCCTGGATGGAGGGTGACGCTGCCAGGCTGCAGGATAGGGGCCACCTTCTCGGGCAGGAATAGCAGGACCTTTAGGCTGGGCAGGAGTGGGGAGCCTGCTGGGAGCCTCTAGAGGTACCCCAACCCACTTCCACTGGGCCTCCGAAGCCAGTCGGAGGTTTGGGTAGATCTACTGGAGGTTGGCTTCAGCAGAGAGATGGGACCATGCGGACACAAGAGGCTGATTTGCCAACCTGGCCCCAGCACCTTGATGGCATAGAGGCTGGAAGATCTGGGCACAGCTTGTGACGAACACAGTAGCCTGCTTTGACTAGTAGTTCTGGGGGAAATGTGTGTCTGTGTGTGAATTAAAATACCTGGTAATGCCCTGGGGCCCACACAGCTTTGCCTTGGGACTTCGCCTTGAGAAGGGCTTCCTGACTGGGCTGCAGGATTGCAGGGACGTGGCATCCACAGGAGTGGTTGTAGGGACTGAGCTCGGGGCCATGCTGGGGCCCTGGGCTGCTGGGCCGTGGCCAGGTTGCATTTGGGACATCTGTCAGCACTTCTGTGGTT